GACTTTATTTGTCCACAAGAAAGTTTTCAGAATCATTGCTCCGACCTTCTGCAACCCTACGCTACTGACTTGCTGCACGAGCGCCAGAACTGTGAGAACAGAACCCATGCCTTTTCATTGGCATCTGAGTCTAAGCACATGCCCAATCTATAGTTGTCTACACGTGTGATGGGTTCGTGTTTTCTTTGGGTAGTCGCATGAATCTATCTTGCAACCACAACTCCACTCCACTCTCGTGTTGGAATTTTGCTAGTAGGCCTTTGGCCCAAAGCCCAACTAAAATTCTGAAATTCTCTTGGCCCATTCATGCACACATGTGAGTGGAGTAAGTGAGTCTAAAGTTTAGTCCCACCGCGAAAGTCGAGAGGGAGTTGCACCTCTTTATAAGGTAAGCTCTACGACCACTTGTATGAGCATGAGAAGAGGAGACCTACACGCGTGCTCCTCCTCCGCGCCACGTCACGCCTCGTCACGCCGCGCCGTGCCGCGCCGCGGGTTGCGCGCTTGGGCCTATTTAGCACAAAGGGGCCTAATTTCATTGCTAATTCTAATCCCTTAGCATCTTTAATTTTCATTTTGGCAAACTCAAGGTAATATCACTTATACAAACGGAAAAGAAAATATTTCGGGGACCTCGCGAGCCATTGGACATCACACAATTTGACGGACAAACGTTTTCCTCTACTTTGCAACAAGGATCTTGTTGCAGAAATTTTCAACGGATGTTGTGTTGCAGAATATATTTTTTGCAATGTACGTTGTGTTGCGGGATTTTTTTTGCAATGCAGGTCGTGCTACGGGATATTTTTCTATCTTCACTTTTTTTTCTGCAACAACAATGATGTTGTGGAAGAATTTCTGCAACATAGCTAATGTTGCTGAACATTGTGCATCTGAAATGATGTGCAAGAAACATCTTGTTGCCTGCGTCGTGCTCATTGCCGCCGGCCGCAACAGAGCAGCAGCACTGCCGCTCCCGCTGTTGCCAAAGCACGCCGGTGAGTCATGCCTCGCCTGAAAAGTGACTTGAGGTGAGCGAGCCTGCGGTTCCGCGTCCGAGCCTCACCCTGCCACAATATCCCTTGGAATCCCTTGCAATGGAGCAGCGCCGGTTTGCATCCAGGATGCACAGTCACTTGCAGATGAGGCCGGGTGATGACCTTGTGGGCGGTGACGAGATATGGGAGAAAGAAAAGATGGAGATGGTGCTAGAAAGATAAGCAATATGGTGGGACCTGTGAGGACACGTGTCGTTTGATCGAGGAGGTCGACGTCTCACTGTTTATCCGCGGGCTGAACGCTATCATTTCCCAAATATTTTTGTACAAACTAAGAATTTTACTTTGGATGTTCTCATGTCAGGATGCACAAAAATACTATAAATCAATGAACCATCCTGACCAAAATAGACTGACCTCATTAAAAAAGATCAAATAAATTATTACATTTTTTTTTACCAAATCTGGTTGTTGCATGTTTCCAAATCTTTTTTAAAAATGTTTCCATCATATAAAATCTCAGGAAATAGACAAATACATGAAATCGCCCTTTCTTTCCTATGTCACCATTTCTCCTTGTTTTTTTATTCCAACTACCAAGTGCAATATTTCAACGCATTTTGTGGTTCAAATTTAAGCATGCTTGGCATAGGAGCTTCAAGTATAATGACGTAAAGAAAAGAAAAGAGACATATCTGCCCTTAGACACTAGACAATGAACTCCAAGTCTTGAAATTACCATCATATATAGTGTGCGGTCCTAAAACCATTGTTCGGGAATTCGGTAACTGGTAACTGCTCGGTCGACTACTGATTAGCGATTAATCGGTTAATCGGCCATTTAACTGAATTAATCGGTCGATCATTAATCGGTTGCACATGAGAATATATTGGCAACATGTAACTAGTTTTTCACGTATTGTACCACATAATCCAATGCTCACAGCTACGTATTATACATTTATACTAAAATATAATACCATACATGTGAGACAACAAGCAGCAACATATGAGACATGATAAGATAAATTGTAGCCATGGGGACCTAGTTCGAGGGGTCGCCGGCGCTGCTACCTGGCCTAGGTCGCCGGCACCGCTTCCTGGCCTAGGTTGCTGCTGCTGCCTGTCCTATGTCGCCGCTGCTGCAGCCTGCAGGTAGGGGCTGGAGGAGAGACGGGGAGAAGAGGATGGGAGGGGATGGGGGTCAGAGAAGGAGGATAGGGCCGGCGACGGGAGCAGGGAGATCGCGGGCGGTGGCTAGGGCCAGCGAGGAGAAGCCATGTTGTGAGGAGTCAGGAGAGGAAGGGGCGCTGCGATTTGGGAGAGGGATGGTGCAGCGCCAGAGGTTACCGGGCCAAATAATGGCCTGGATTGTCATTTTGGGTACCCCTTTTTTATGGATGCGGCTTCAGTTACCTGAACCATCAGCGATTAATCGGTTTGACAACCAGTTAATTGTCTGACAACCGATTAAATGCAGTTAATCGGCTTGACCATTTAATGAACCGAGTATGTGCTATTCGCCTCAGTTAGGCACTGAGTAGCGATTAAATGGGCATTTAAATGGTAACTCGGCCGAGTTCTTGAACAATGCCTAAAACAAATATGTTGACGTAGAAACAAACTCCTCAAATAGCACCAGGTACACATTTCCATTTGAGTGACAAGTTTTTTCGGACTAAGAGAGTATCACATACGCTTCCAATACTAGTATGCCTAACAACGATTAAATTGGTTGTGTCGGCAAAAATGAAGATTAGGATGTAATCATGCTTGAACCATTGAAGTGTGACTCTCCCCTCGCCCTGCTTAAACCTTAAAGTAACCCTCATCATGAATTATAAAAAAGTAAAATAACTTGTCGATGTTGAGACAAAAAGATCTTCAAAAATATGTAAAAATATAATTCTTCACAAAAGTTCATGGTGCAGCTTTGGTCAGCAGTCAGGACTCGATCAGGACCTGGATAGAGACTTGGTGGCAACGACTTGGACTTTGAATTTTCAAAGCAATAAGCATCGTGAGGAAGGTTCTTCCAAGGCTGCACCACATATGGCTCCTTTCTTTTCTGAAATACGTACATGACTTGACAAATTCTAGTTATACTTTCGGAAGTAAATCCGTGGCATAGTATTGAAATTTATGCTCACCCAGCACAAAAGAAAAAACATACCACCAATATCACACTTTTTTCAAAAAAAAAAGGATAACTCACGGTCTCTAGATCAAAATGATGCATGCAACCATCTTTATTAATTTATTCATCAGAGTCTTGACAAAATGAGTACAAAGATCAACCCTAAACCACCTATGAGGTGAATAAAGTCGCTACACCTACAGGTATAAAGATGTGTCCTGAGTCCTAACCGCATCAACGGACCCCATCTAATCTAGTGGCCTCAAGAAGGTCCCGCCTGATAAGCCGAGAGTACCAACCGGTCTAGGTGTCCCACAACGCGCACCGCATGCACACGTTCTAGGATTCGCCACCGCCGACTTCCACCGTCCCATCTTCAGGAGTCATTATTGCATTGATCTTGGCATGCCCATCTTTCATCGACGTCACCACGACGCTGGACACCGCCACCGCCCTACGCCCGTTCATCAAGACGCATCCGTCATCGAGACTCTGCTGCACCATGCCGCCGAGACCCACCATTGGCGATACGGTTCATGCCACGCCGCTCCACCTACATGCCATCTTACACCGACTCTGAACTACCAGCAACTCCACCACCATGAACAGTCTCCGACCGACGCCTTCAGGAAGGAACACGACACCAAGGTGCCGTCGTGCCCCAAACATAGGAAAATAGGCTTTCGCCTGTGTTCACGCCAAAGGTGGGAGGAACATGATCCACACTGAGGCCTCCAGGAAGGGAATCGGCGCCGCGGGGCTTCGACTTTGGTGCGGACGCCACGCCAACCTGCAGTTTCCCCCGGATCCATGCCCACCTGCCAGATCGGTCAAGGCAACACCGGTAAATGTCTACCGCAGACTCCAGGTACCAAAGGCAGAACGAGCCGAAGCAGATCGAGTCGAAGATAAAGCTTCCCAATGAACTCCGGTGGCCAGCGAGAAGCCGCCGCAGCGCCACCACCTCCACGCGACCCACGTAGCAGTGGAAGGCCGCCCATCTGCACCAGCCGGGCAGGCCGCACCGCGCGCCACCGACCAAGGCCGTCGCCCCGAGATCCGATCTACCAGCCGCCACCACGCATTAGAGCCAGAGCCCACCACGCCCGCGTCCGCGCACCGCCCGTGCTCGCCGCGCAGGCCCGTCGCAAGCTCGCCACGGCGACCACGCGCACCCACGGCGGACGCCCCGCAACGCCCGAGCCCCGCGAGAGGAAGAACCGGAGGGCGCGGCAACGAGGGAATGGAGATCCGGCGAGGCGATAGTTTGCCCGGCGGCTAGGGTTCCGCCTGGGTCGCCCGCGGGGTTGGCGACACTGGGGTGACGCGGGGTCCACTCTGATATTTCTTCTTACTTCACATTTTTGCTTTGGTTTCCACCACCAATATCACATAGGCTGCGAGCATAAGCATGCTTAGTAACAATTAAATTGGTTGTGTTGGTTCATCGCTGAAGATTAGTACCGACAGCGTACAGTACATACCACTAGTAGTCATACATACAAGCCTGAATCTGTCAAATAACTTGATATTGAGCTGAGAAGACCTTCAAAAAGATCTTGTAGAAAAAGAATTATTCGAAGACCCTTCATGTCATTATCCATCAATTAACATTGTACTGATCTGTCTGCGCTCTTAGATCCGGCATATTAATTATGACTTGACCTCTGAATTTTCAAAGCAATCCTTGAGGGAGATTTTTCTGCCGCTACACCACACCTTTTCCCTTCGTTTTCAGAATTATACACCTGTGGCTCCTTGCTCGTGAAAGAAACGGTGATATTTCACACAAAGAAGAAAAGAGGGGATGTTGTACTATATTGTTCTTGGGAGTGGTGTTGCGGTTCACAGGTCTCAACGAAGTGATGGCTCGTTTTACTCGCCTACTTGCCTTCTTCATCCAGATACAACTCTACTCACTAGCCACATCTACCTCCCACGGCCATGGTAACACATCAGCTGCTTTTTACTGCCGTCCAGACCAGGCTGCAGCACTTCTCCAACTAAAGCAGTCCTTCATCTTCGACTACTCCACTACCACCCTGCCGTCGTGGCAACCTGGTACCGACTGCTGCCTCTGGGAGGGCATCGGCTGCCATGGTGTATCTGGCAGCCGCAACAGCAGCAGTGTCACAGTTCTTGACCTCGGCGGCGGTGGCCTCTACAGCTATGGCTGCCATGCCGCGCTCTTCAACCTCACCTCCCTACGCTACCTCGACCTCAGCATGAACGATTTTGGTGGATCTCGCATTCCGGCAGATGGCTTCGAGAGGCTATCCAAGCTCACTCACCTCAACCTTTCTTATTCAGGCTTCTACGGTCAGATTCCTATCGCCATCGGCAAACTCACAAGCCTCGTATCATTGGACCTTTCTTCAGTGCATAATATTGAATCAGCTGAAATCACAAATCTTTATGCTATCATGGATGGCTACAACCTTTTGGTGTTACGAGAGCCCAGCTTTGAGACCTTACTGGCAAACCTCAACAATCTGAGGGAGTTGTACCTTGATGGAGTGGACATATCTAGTAGCGGAGAGGAGTGGAGCAGTGCTCTAGGTAAAGCTGTCCCCCGTCTTCAGGTTCTTAGCATGGCGTACTGCAAACTCAATGGTCCAATCCACTCTTCTCTGTCAAGTCTTAGATCCCTTACTGTGGTCAACCTCAAGCTTAATGATGGAATTTCTGGTGCGGTACCTGAATTCTTCACGGACTTTCTCAATTTAAGTGTTCTTCAACTCAGCTATAACAACTTCAGTGGTTGGTTTCCTCAGACAATATTTCAACTCAAGAATATAAGAGTCCTTGATGTGTCACACAACGAACAACTGTCAGGGCATTTACCAGAATTTCCAAGTGGGGCTTCTTTGGAGACTTTGAATCTACAGTACACTAATTTCTCTGGTGTCAGGCTGAGCTCTTTTAGCAATCTTCTGTCTCTGAGTGAGCTAGGTCTTGAAGGAGGGTCAATTTCTATGGAGCCGAATGATTTATTTCTCAACAAGCTCAACTCCTTGCAAAATTTGCAGCTCTCTTTTGCTCAATTTTCGGGAGAGTTAGCACCATTTTTCTCATGGATTAGTAGCCTTAAGAACTTGACAAGCTTGCAACTCTCTGATTGCTATTCCTCCAAGATAATGCCCCCTTTGATTGGCAACCTCACCAACTTGACAAGTTTGGAGATGACTTTCTGTGGTTTCTTTGGGCAAATATCACCATCAATTGGGAACCTCAACAAGTTGACTTCCTTGAGAATCTCTGATTGTGCCTTCTCTGGGACAATACCATCTTCAATTGGCAATCTAAAGAAACTAAGAAGATTGGAAATTTCTTATAGTGAATTATCAGGTCCATTAACAACAGATTTTGGACATCTCAGCAATTTGACGGTATTAGTACTAACAGGCTGCAGGTTTTCTGGCAGAACACCAAGTACAATTGTGAACTTGACTCAGCTGATTTATCTGGATCTTTCGCAGAATGATCTCAGAGGTAAGATTCAATTCACAACCCAAGCATTCACATCATAGCTAGAATAAAAACAAATGACGAAAATAAACACTTGCTTCTCTTTGTCATGAATAATAAATAAAACATTTGCTCCTAATTAACCAATGCTAGACATGTGACACATCGTATAAAACTTCTATGACAAACTGTGTTGAAGTTTTGAGTATAAAAAAATGGATACCATGATATTGTTACTAAATGATAATACGCACTGACTTCAGAGCTTAGAATCCACTAGCAAGTCATCAACCACCCTTCCTAACAAAAAGAATACAGAACATCGAACGAGAAAAAGATTATGTTTGTGCAAGTTACTATTACTAAAACATATAAAGTTAGTTCGACCTTAATTTTGTCCAAATGAAATTTATTATAAACTAGAAAAGTAAAATGGTGCCCATCGAAAATCAACGTCAACCGCTCCATTACCTCCCTGGCATGAAAAGGGGACAACCAGCTCCATGGGTGTAGATACCATTATGAATAAGGACTGCGATTTCGTTTTTGAAGAATATGACTTGTTATCTATAATATGATGGACATCATGTTTATTTCGCTTGCCATATACCCCAAGCGTAATTAATCATTTTATTTCTGAACAATGTTGACAAATGCTTTAATATTATAACATGAGAAAATTTTATTGCACTGATGGTTTAACATTGCATTATTTGATATATTTTGACTTACGTTGCACATAATTATGAAGCAAAACGCCTTGCAGATGTCTGCAAAATACAATGGTTTTGATTGAAAAAGTAAGAGTCTTAATATTTTTACTTGAACACAACAGTCCTTCCACTAACACTTCTTTTCAGGGAATGATGCGAATGTTAAAGAGCATATAGGTCAGGCTTTAAAAAAAATAAAACTATCAAGAAAAGATTAATGAAATTGTCTGAAAATAGATTACTAATTCTAAGAGATGTTTTCCAAGCTTTTCGAGAAAATATTGTGTGTGCCGATGTTCTACTTTTAGACAGGTGCAGAAATATTCAATTGATGCTTATCTTGATTTAAAAAAAACTATGCAAGAATCTATCTTTTGCTCATTCTCAGTGTATTCTTGTAATACAAAAAGATGCACTCTGAGGGGCGTACAAAAAATTCTATTCACTAATTCCTAGCACTAGTTAAAGTATTTGGCCTCTTAAGATCGTCTCAAACTTTGGTTTATGATTCATTATGCATTTTGTGGACTTCACTAGGTTGTTAACTCTATTTCCAGGAGAGATTCCAACATATCTATTCACTTTGCCAGCCATGTTACAGTTGGAGCTTTCATCAAACCAGCTTTCTGGACCAATACAAGAGTTTGATACTCTATATTCACATATGATAATTGTTTCTTTGGGTCAAAATCAAATTAGCGGACAGATTCCTGGATCATTCTTTCAACTCACAAGTTTGATAGAGCTGGATCTTAGCTCGAACAACTTAACAGGTTTGGTAGAACTGAATTCACTTTGGAAGTTACGAAAGCTTTATTTCTTGGATCTATCAAACAACAGGTTATCCGTCTTGGATGGAGAAGGCAATAAATCAACAGTGCCCTTACTACCTAAGCTCTCAATATTAGTACTGGTGTCTTGCAACTTGACAACAATGCCTAGATTCTTGATGCATATCAACCATATCCATACACTGGACCTTTCGAACAACATAATGCAGGGTACTATACCCCAATGGATATGGGAGACGTGGGATGATAGCCTTACACAATTAGATCTTTCAAACAACATGTTCACACATATGCAACTCACTTCATATCTACTCCCATACAGTCGTTTGGATTCTCTTGATCTCAGCTCCAATAGACTTCAAGGCCAGGCCCCGATGCCAAATCTGTTGAAAGCAGTGGATTACTCAAACAATAGATTCTCTTCTATTATGCCAAATTTCACTGCTTATCTTTCGCAAACTGTGTATCTCAAGTTGTCAAAAAATAACATAAGTGGGCATATACCGGATTCAGTTTGTGATGCAAGCAACCTCAAAGTCCTTGACTTGTCATACAACAACTTCAGTGGGTTAATACTCTCCTGCCTGATAGAAGGTAGAAGCTTGGTCGTATTAAATTTGAGGGAGAATCATTTTAAGGGAACATTGTCTGATAATGTTAGTGACCACTGTAATCTCCAGACAATAGATTTACATGGCAACAATATTCAAGGGCAGCTTCCTAGGTCTCTTTCCAACTGCGCTGGCTTGGGGATTCTTGACATTGGAAACAATCGGATGGTTGGTACTTTCCCATTTTGGCTGGGTAGGCTCTCTGATCTTCGTATCATCGTTCTGGGATCCAACCTGTTCTATGGCTCGCTTACTTATCCTGCCAGAGATAGAAAATCCAGGGAATACTTCTCAAAGTTACAAATCATTGATATAGCTTCAAACAATTTCTCTGGCAATTTGGACCCACAATGGTTTGAGAGGTTCGCATCTATGATGGCAAAGTTCAATGACACGGGAAATATCTTAAGCCATCAGACAGATTATAGAGACTACCATGATACTGTTGCAATCACATACAAAGGGCAATATGTGACTTTTGAAGAGGTCTTGACTACCTTAACCTCAATTGACTTCTCAAATAATGCACTGGAGGGTGACATTCCCGAATCAGTTGGAAGTCTAGTTTCACTACACATATTGAACATGTCCCACAATGCATTTAAAGGAAGGATTCCAGCACAAATTGGTGAGATGCGTCAACTGGAATCGCTAGACCTATCATGGAACAAGCTTTCTGGGGAGATTCCACAAGAGCTAACAAATTTAACATTTCTTGGCACCCTGGACTTGTCTGGAAATAGGCTGGATGGAAGGATACCACAGTCACGTCAGTTTGCAACATTTGAGATCAACTCATATGAAGGGAATGCGGGGCTTTGTGGACCACCTTTGTCCAAGCCATGTGGCGATTCTAGTAATCCAAATGAGGCGCCATTAAACACATCCGGAGATCATGTGGACATTGTTTTGTTTCTCTTTGTTGGGGTGGGCTTTGGCGTTGGATTCACAGCAGGTATTCTGATGAAATGGAGGGAAATAGGCAAATGGTTGCGGATTGCGTGAACTGGTCTGAAGACACAAGGCTCTTGGTATAGTTATGCAATTACTGGAGGGAGCTACGAGCTGTAATATGCCACTCTATGTGTTCACATTTCTACCTTATCATCTATCATAACTTGTGTATTGTCATGTTTATGTAATGTATTGTATGAACTGGTCTGAAGACGCAAGAACACTTCTTATCAAAAGTTGTATGACAATTGCCACATTTCTAGTGTTCATTTCTGTTGCGGCACCGAAACAGATGAGGAATTGTTCGTTTTCTGCTCTCTAATCTGTTGGTGTTAAGTGGTTCTATCTGCTCTGTGCACAATCCTTCTGGTAAGAAAGATGAGACACAACGATCCATGAGCGGATGAGCCCGAATGGAAAATAACCACTGAATTATCCCTAACAGTTAAACTAGGATTTGAGTGTGAGAGAGACGCCACTCAGTTTCCCCTGAGCCCGAATGGAGGAGTCATGGAGGGACGTGCATTACACTGATGCAGGATAAAATGTAATCTGCAGCACAGATATCGCAGAGACGACTGCAATCTTCCCCCTTGTGAAAGAATAATCAATATGTCATGTATGAGTTCGTTCGGTACCTGAAACAAATTTCGGTTGAGCCTGGATCCTCGTAGCACCGCCCCTGTCAGCCCCTCATCATCCACCTCCTCATCCCCTTTACGACTAAACTAAAATAATCAGCCATAAAATTCGTTGCAAAATTAAGCCTGTGGATTGCAGCTAGCGGCATCAATCAAACTGAAATTGATGGCGGGTCGATGAGAAGCGGCGAGATATAGTATGTACCTCTGGCCCTCCGGCGAGAGGTCGCCGTATATCGCACAGAGCCAACCTGGCGTTCGAGCCGTCGCCGCGTCGTCGTCGACGGCGAGCAGGGGCGCGACTCTGTTTTTCCCCACTCTGGCGAGAGTTTTTTTTTTCTGCGTGCCTTCTGGGAGAGAGAGACTCCGTGACCTTGATGACCGATGGTGTGCGCATGACGGAAGCGAGAGGCCCTGTTATTATTTTGGCCCGTGAACGGCGGCCCGATCACCGATTTATATGAGTTCGCTAGTAAAAAAAGAGCAACTAGTTGACGAGCAACCCCTCAAAAAAAAAAACTAGTTGACGAGCCAGAACGATCAGCGCCACTTGGCGCGCCCGCCACATGTCGCACTCGGGACGTTTTCTTTGGATTTTATTTTTTTATTTTTTTGCACGTGTTTTCTGCTTTTTAAACGGTTTTTCAGTTTTTTTTTTGCGTTTTAGTTTTTCACCGGTCTTCCTTAGCTCTTGGACCAAAAAATACAAATCCTTTTTTTCTGGCTTTCGCGAGTGGCACGACCGTGCCTCTGGGAAACGAAAAAAAACACGTTTTCTGTTATTTTTTTCTTTCCGAGAGGCACGGTTTTGCTTCCGCAAGAGGCATGGTTGTGCTTTCACGAGAGGCATGATTGTGCCTTCTCGGAAACGGAAAAAAATATGTTTACTGTTTTTTTTCTTCTGCGAGAGGCACGGTTGGGGATTCCCAAGAGACACGGTCGTGCCTCTTTCGGAAAGGAAAAAAACCGTGCTCCCGGTTTGGTTTCTTCGTCCGGTTTTTTCATGAAAAAAAGTTCGTCAAAACCTATCAACATGGGATCTATTTTTGAAGACCTCGACGTGAGGAATCCAACGGTGAAAACGGTTCAACATGGGATCTACTTTTGAAGACCTCGACGTGAGGAATCCAACGGTGAAAACGGTTCGAGATTTAGACGCACGATTTAAGAGATAAAATGTTTTGAATAAATGGATCTACAAAAAAAAAGGAAAAACTCTCAGGTTGCGACAAGTGGCGCATATGCAGTGCGCCACTTGTCACAGCCTTAGGAGACAGGAATGATCTTTGCGAGGAGTACTCCTCAATTAGGGGTTTCGTCTAAAAAAATCCCAATTTTCCCTTAAAAAACACAAATGATAAGTGACACACGTATGGCACGAAGCACTCCGGTCCTCACATTTTTTTACAACAAAATTGTCATTTCGAAAGGAAAAAAACTAAAACTAAAACTTGTCATCCGAAAAGAAGTTGTAATGCTTGACAATTAAAGTTGTCATCCTCACGTTACTAAACATGCTACTAAAACCGTTCGGAGTTGTCATGTGCTCGTGCCACACGTGTAACACTAATCAGGTCCAAAAAATGCCCAATTCCTGATCTGTCGATGCAACACCATATTATGTTTTGCTTTTGCTTTCGATGTGGGTACCTTGGTCGTGATTCAGATATCAAAGTCTTTTTTTTACAGGGATATCAAAGTCTTTCTTGGTATCATGATCATCATCGGTAATATTACCTCCATTGTCGTCGACGCTTGTTTGTTTCCCAGGCTGCTACAATTCTACCATAATAATTCAAAAGCATGGTCATAGAGGTAGTTAATGTACCCAAAACGCCAACTTACACAGAATTTACTGTTTGAAAATAATGTGTACATGAAGTTGGACCTTAACTCCACTCCACTCTCACATATCTGTGTAATCTGTTGGCTTCTAAACATGGAAACTAAATAAGATTAATATTCATGGTATTTTATCTCCCAGACAAAATTAATTCACGGCCTATTTTTTTTTCCCAACCCCCTCATTCATCAACAGACGAGCTTTTGTCTGGTCGAATCTATAGGCCTGCAGTTATGTAGGTATTACACTGGACAATAGAACATATAAATTTTAACAAAATATGATAGAGAACTTTTCAAAAAAATGTTACATAACTGAAATACGTTTAAATTTCG